AAATTATGGTAGAGAAAGGCTAAAATCGAGTGCTATACTTATGACAAATTATTTTAATTATGTAAAACAGTGATCTTAAACCCTCAACTCAACTCTATTATTAGCAGCTGTAAGTTAATTCAACATTAAATATACATACTACATATTTGTTGTTTTCTGTCTTTTTTAAAACATTAATTTTGAATAAAAACCCTTATCTTTGGTACATATTTTTGAAACAAAAATTATTGGATTACTAGTTTTTGATCTATTTTTCTCACCACACGACTCAATGGCCTTTGAAATAGTATTTTAGTATTCAGAACAGTGTTTACCTCTGCTTTATCGGCTATCTGTCGTATGCATCTGATCGATAAAGCAGTCGATATGTTTAAAGGGAAACTAAATTTAAGAGGCAGTCGAGACTATTAGGAATGGGAGATACTACTTGCCACATTTGCCTCCTATACCACAATACCCGATTTTCCTCTAATATTTACGTGAATTCTAATAACCTTATTCATAAAAAATAAAGTAGCTTTAAAAACGGTTCATAAACTGAAAGATTTATGAAAACTTTAATATAAAATAATAATATAAAGCTCTTTAAACCTACTTTATTATTTGTGAATAAGGCCATAAATGTTTAGCTGAACGGATTCAGGTAGATAAAAGATGTGTGACCCACACAAATTAAATACAATTTTCATAATAAAGTGGGAAGAGAGACAAAGTCAAATGATTTTTTTAGTACATTTCCACTTAAATGAGATCTTAGATTTCAAAGTCCAGGAGGAAATTCGATACATATGTATATTTTCATGATTGTGAAATCTTGAATTTCAACCAAATTTCAAGAAAAACAAAAATTCGCACATTTAAAAAACGAACAAACTTTCACCTTTCGGCGATCTTCAGAAAGTAGACAATTTTACAGATATTTAAAGGGAATTAAGTAAAACCCAAAATGAGAAAACAAAAAAATTGCAAAATTAATTATAAAATAAAGGCACATTTCTGTCCGGGACACGAAAATATGCCTTCAGAGTGAAAGGAAAGAAAGAAAAAAGTTAGTAACCTGGTATACATATATCAATTAAATCCAACCAAAAAACTATAAAATAGGTATTCTGGACTTCGAAGTCGATATCACATGTTTCATTGCAGTGGAAGGACATGTACATAAGTATCTACTATTAAAATATATGTATGCTCAATTGGGTTTGTTCGGTTCGATTGTTTGCAGCAATCAATATTTTTTTTTTTTGGGTGAAATATATTTTTTTTTACATTCTTTATCGGACAAATAATCCAATTTTTTTTTTTTTTTTAATCTATGTCACACTCCCATGAAAAGCCGAGGTAATTACGCACATTTTGTTACCTTAACTAATTTTCTCCGACAAATAGTTTATTAACTGCAAACAATTAAAAAAAGATACTTCTCCGTGAGCTCAAAATTTCGCGAATTGTTTTTCGAGATTTTCGAATATCATGACGAAATAAAAAAATTGGTGTCTTCTTTTTTTCGATAAAGAATAAAAAAAATATATATATATTTTACCCAAAAAAATAAAATATTGAGGTGTAATTATTGTACATAAACGTTAAGAGTTGACAAGTGTTGCTTTTGTTATACATACAATTTTAGAGGTGGGTGTGTGTGTGTGGGCGTGAGTGTGCGCTTTGTTTTGCATGACTGTAATAATTCTTTGACATACATACATACATAGAAAAATTGCAGTTAGCCACTTTAGGAAGAAATTGCCTATAACGGTATGCAACCTGTAAAATGCCAACCGGAAAATCTTTAATTGTACATATGTATGCATTTATGTTATTCAACTTTTGCTAAAGAGGTAATATTATTTAGTACATTTAACTGCTTGCTTTCCTTTACTCGTTGTTTATGTACTTTTACTATTGTTATATGTTCATCTATTTATTGTACCCTGCTGTTATTTTTTTCACTAACTTATGGTTTATTTATTTATTGTATGCGTTCTCGATGTACGCCTACGAAAAAGCGATCTTAAAAGCTCTATTCACTATTACTAAGTGAACTTTTACAAATATTGATTTATTTATGTATTTACTTAGATAGTTGGCTGACGCTATATAGCTACGTACATCTCTCCTGTCTCCTTACTTTTGACGCTTCATTTTAATTCAAATTGCTTATTGATTTCTTGAAATTTATTTCATTGTTACGCGGCGATTGGTGGTATGGTGGGTGAGAATATACTTGTACATACCTTACTCGTATGTATGAATGTATCGTTCGTCTCCATTCTGTCGTAACGTTGCTACAGTTAAACCCTACATTTCACTGCTCTGGTTACCAAAAGCGTCTCGCAACTCCCTAATTCGATATTTACAATGTACATAGTATTTTGGTATGTAGTACTTTGCTCATAAATCTTGCACTAAATTACTACAAAACGTTTAGTTTCTAAATTACAGTACAACGATAAAAAAAAAATTACGAAATAAATTATTTGAACATAACGAAAGGGCAAAACAATAATTTTTTTTTTTTATTGAAAATTAATCTAAATCGAATTATGGGCTGACTTATTTATAAGTATGCATATGCAAGTGTGTAAGTGTGCAAGCTTGTTTTGCTTACTTATTATTGCGCGATTTCAATTTCGTTCAAAATGCGCTTGTTTTAAATTAATTATATCTGTGTTTTTTTCTGGATGTGTGTGGTTGTGTCCGTTGTAATCTTAAACTTATCGATGAGCAAAATTTTAAAACTACAAAGGGACTTAACATTAGGACAAGGACATTTATGCACTCTGCACCGCGGAGCTAATTCCACAGCGCCACGCACATACGCATGCAGCCAGCAATTTCATTAAAAATGGTTTTATATTAAATAGCAACGTGGAGCAATTTTAAGAGGTTTTCGAGGCTCAACGAAATAGTGGCCAAACGCTAGCCAAACCTAAAAGTTTTTCCACCTCATCGCCCTTTTACCACCACGTTTTACAGTGGTTTCAAATGTACACTTTTTGATCAAAACTTCAATTATATATTTATGTTGTTATGTATGTATATGTAATATTTTGTATGTTCATATAATTTTATGTACAAATCGGCTTCAAATATGTATTAAACCAAAAAATTTAAAAAATTGCCGGAAGGGGAAATACATATCATCATTTTCATATTTGCGGTCAATTTATATATAAAATTACGATATAATATGAATAACTTTGAACCAAAAAGTGTAAACTTAAACCCACTGTAAACCAGATTGATGAAAAATGTCTTTGGGGCTTGACTACCGAAGAAAAAAACACTAACTTTTGGCTATTTTTTCGTTCTCCAAGAAATGTTACGTTGATGGTTGTATGTAAATATGAACGAAGTTAACGGTTTTAGGGTTCCCAAGAAGCGAAGAGATAGAACAAATCAATCAGATATTTTATGCGCGAGAATCGTCAAATTAATTAAATAAATGACAATCGACCGCATGTGTTGCAAATCTACCAACTTTTGGGGTCTAATTAATGAGTTGGTGTTTTTTTTTAAGTTAGACTTAAAAAAATAATGGATAGAAATACTACATATATATATATTTTTTTTTTGTTTTGAATCCAAAATGTTCGTTTCGAACTGATTTTCACAATACATTTCACATTGTTAATGCAAAGAAACGCCGTAGAGCGGTTGGAAATGATAAGCAAATGGAGAAAAAAAAACAGAGATTGGTCAGATATACATACTAGGTATTTGTTAACCTAAAAATGAGCAGAAGTAAAATTTGAATATTAATAGTGGTACTTATTCACCAAATTGAGCAAGTGGCTTCACTCTGTCAAAAGAGCAGATCATCTCAAGCAACGACAGTTGTCGTCAACAGACTGCCAGGCCACTTGCTTACTTTGGTGAATACCACCAATATAAAGGAGAATAGCTCGAACCTAACCTAATCGGCGATACATAAATGTTTACTGGATAGTTAATTTATTTAACCAAAACAACAACAAAAAAATATTACTTCAAAATAGCGCTACGCTATAAAACTAAAGCAAAAGTTGAAGATTTCTTATGATTCTTATATCACAATATTGGCTGCGCTGAGATACGTAGGCTGCCAGCAAGGATTCTTCAAGCTGAGCAATATCACAATTACCATGCTCAATTCAAAGGGATCACCAGTGTGGACTACTTTTCAGCTTGTTGCTAACCAAATAATGTACGAAATAAGAATACATACATATAAACAGAGGGGAGGTGGCAATTTTTGCCAGTGTCAATGACACACAATTCACATTTACATTTACATTTACAAATGTGCAATTATTGCAGCCTAAAACTATGCTTACAGACAAATTTCGAAAGAGATCACAATTTGGGCGTTCTTTATACATGCATACGTATGTACGTAGTACATGTAATTAATTTTGTTTTTTCCAAACTAGGTTGGGGTTAAAAAGTTGTTTTGTTGTTTTTTTTTGTTTTTACCTAAAATTATCAATTTCATTGGCTTAACTTTTTTTATATGCTAAAATTTTAAATTTACGAATTCACAAGTACTTATTTAGCTAAGCTTATCAACAAAGTTTGAGTGGAACTAAGGAGGGGGAGGAGGGAGGTCGGTTGGGGTTGTTTACAACTAATACGATCACGCTGCGCTGTTAAGTTAGTGTGGTGCATACACTTTCAACAAAAAAAAAAAATGGAATTATCATTAATATTCACAGGATGTTGGTACATTTGCAACAAAAAATCTATGCGGCAATCGCTTTGAAGCAGAATTTTCCGAGCTTTAGGATGTACAAAAGCCGATTTCGTAGTCCAATTAATTATACAGCGAAAAGCGGCATGGCGTCGGCGACAAATTTGACCGACCACTTCAAGGTCAATTTCTCATCTCACTCACTCTTACTGTTTCTTCTAATGGGCGAAAGTGAATAGAAAAAAGAAACTAAAGAACATATTAAAATGACTGAAAGCTTCTTTTCTTCAGTATTAAATCGTATTTTAATTGAAACGAAAGTATTGCTAAAAAATCTTTTTGAATTGGTTAAGCAAGCTGAGTCCGAATTGTTTTATAACACTGTGTAACAATGAAAATGAACTTTTCAAGTGACCTAGTACAAGTTGTGGATCTGGCCGTAGGCCGTATAGTTCTCGAAACTATCTTTAACATTTCTCTAGCAGCCTGAATTTCGGAACTTATTCAAAAATAAAGATCTTTAACAAATTTTAGAAATAATAAATATTTCATTTGTAATGGAACGAGATATCACATACTGAAATGAATGGTGAAGCTATCACATTTTTTAATATATGTAGAAGGAAAATGAATTTTTATTAGATCTCGGTAAATCCTATTAGCTGCTAATGACTTCCTCCTATAGTATTTCTCACTCAAATCAATTGACAATTTTTTTTCTTTGACAAATAATTAAGGGGCCTGTTTCATATGTACATATGTATATGTATTCACATATTCATATGGCATATACATTAGGCATATGACTTTTTTAATTAAATTAAATCTATATGCACATGAGGAGAGGCTGAGCAGTTATGAAAACTAACAAAAATAACGCTTTTCGCTTTGGTCAAAATTGGGTACAAGTTCCCTCATGGAGAAAGGAAAAAATTTATTTACATATACTTGTACTTAAAATAGAACATACATACACATACTATAGTTATATGGAAAATTCCATGTCAACCGAATTATAACTGCGATCAAAAATTGGAATTTTTATATGTGGAATTGGGTATAAGATGAATTTTGTACAATTGCTTATTAAACACGGTCTATATTTTAAAACAATACCGTAAGAAAGTTAGTACGAAATTGGGAGATATTTGAAAATTTAGGCGATCCTGAATATACTTTTGATGGGAAAAAATCACCGTCTACTCAATTTTGTGAGTACCTAAAACGCCGATAGTAAAAGTATATATGTATGTACATTTTTTGTTCTAGTAAGATAATGGTAATCGATACAGCTATGGAATTAGTACACAACATAATGGAAGTGGTAGCGGTTATTTCGGCATACCTACTTAACTAAATTTTTGTATTTTTGGATTTGGATTATGACACTATTGAAGTAAATGATGGATATGTATGTATGTAAATGGAAAACTCCTACCGAATGAAAAATAAAATTTAGAGACCAATTTTGAGCGCAGTCATAATTCTGTTGACATGGAATTTTTCATTACATACATACATGTATGAGGCCATGAGAGGCAGAGTAGCCTATCCACAAAAAATGTCTTTGAGTAATATGAGAAAGAATAATCTATATATAATAAATACGATATTTACTGAAAAGTTCAATGCACCTAAGTACGTCATGCTAACAATTATAGTAAAAGAAAACTAAAAGAGCATACCCCGAGCTTTTACCGTTTTGATTCTGGCTCTCAAGGCCTCATATGTATGTTTGTTTTTGAACACTCTTCGTCCCATACTCACAGGTATATTTAATTTAAAAAGTCAAATGCCGAATGTACACACATACATATGTATGTATTCATACCAAGTTTTGGGCAAGTCCTCAAAAATCCTTTCCGAAACCATTTTATATATAAAATTGCTTAACAAATAACTGAGCCAAAAATTGGTTAGTCCAAGTAGTCTTACGAATTTTTTTTATTCCTTCAAGCAGATCTAAGACCTTTACTCGGTCACTTAAAAAGTTCGTGCGATTTTCTTAATTTTGTTACACCGTGTTGTTAAAAATTTTAGTTAGTATAATCATTTTTGCTTTTTTTTGTGTTTTTGATCTACCCAGAAGAAGAAAAGCAAACATGAACAGTGAAAATAACCGGCTCTGTCTATTGTAAACGGAACGGGAATCGGCAAGGCTCCCGTTCCAACCCGATTTCAAAGTACGAAATTGCTTGGCTGCATGGGGTGCAAAAAAGTGATGTCCATCTGAGGTGGGTCTCTACATTATAATTACCAATTGAAGGTAAAGATGTTACATTAAAAAAATTACAATCAACGAATAGCTAAACACATTATTTAGTATTTTCTTCATTGCATTTCTCATACTCTACTAATCACTAATTACGGTTCTTCTTAACACACGTTTACTAACAATTGCTCCTTTCTAAATACATATACATATATAGAGTTAGGCAGATAAACTTACTAAGCGCAATTGTTTATTCATTCCTCTTGCAAAAGTAGGTTTATGTTTATTGAAAAACACAGCAATATTTGTTTTAAAATTAAAAGTGAAAACCGAAAGGAATAAGTAACGCTAATCAATAAATTTATACGACAACATGCTACAAAAGTAATTAAATGAAACACAAAAATTGTGATGGTTTCATAGTAGGTAATCAGCTGTTGCAAGTTTTTGCTTTTATACTAACAAAAATATTTGGTAAATTTTCTTTAAAAATTCTATGCATTTTCCATACTTAATAGCTTAACAAGTACAAAGTTTTCATAGATGTGGCGAAATAACTAAAAATTGTAATTAAACATACATAAATTATTTAAGGTTAATTTGCGGTAAGTAAAAATGTAAAAAAAAAAACTCAAACAAAAATCAACAAAATTAATTTAAACATAAAAAAATTTACACATATTGATTTCAGTGATGATAATTGCAGATTTTAGAATTTAACTAAATAATAATTCAAACAAACGTTGAGGGAAATATGCTAAGCTATTTCTAGTTGCCCGGAAACAGTTTGCGTTTCACAGTTTCAAGGCTCTTTCGCTGAACGCAAAGTGTTTCCCGCACGGCATTTATTTCACAGTGTGCAAACTAAATTACATCTATAAAAAAAAAACTAAGCTAAATGGACTAATTTTTTCGTTTTCAATAAACGTTTTATGTATGCACGTATATTACTTAGTAGCATTATTTGTAACTAAATAACAATGTCATTAAATATTTTGTGTGTTTATAGTAGTTATTAGTTGTTGTTGTCATTCATTACATATTGAATTATTATTTTTTTTTTTTCAAATATTTCTTTCACAAGCAAGTAACGTAACGCACAGAAGAAACAACAAAATTACCGGTACCTAACGTTTTCCGTTACTACTATTACTACAAATAAACCTGCCTTTTTCTAATCTTTTATTTTTATTTTAACAATAGTTTGCTTGGTTAGATTTCCCTTCTCGTATGCAATCCGCTGCTTGCTGCACCATTTTACATTTGACGCTTTTCTCATTCTCTCATACTTTCAAAAAATTTTCGTCCTTTGTAGAGTTAATCAGCGTAATTCATTATGTTTATATAATTGAGGAATTGCTCCGAAAACAATTGCATGCAGGCCGTGCCGCCATCAGCCTCCACTACGCCCCTGCCAGCGCCAATGCAGTGGTCCCCCCCATCGGCTGTTGAATTTGAACGAAATCCTTTGTTATTGCTGCCAGCTGGTGCGGCTGTTGTCGGTAGCTGTTTGGTGAGCGCACGGCTCCCTGCTCCGCCGGCGAAGGTTGAGGGCTGGACGTTTGTGCGCCAAATGCTCGAGGCATCTGTGAAGTCTATGGACTCGCCCACATCCACATCAGCATTTGTGTTGCTGGTCATTCGTGATGCAGCTGTTGCTGCTGCGACACTGCTCCTGTCGTTAGTGTTGGTGCGCCAGAGATCGGTGAATAGGTCAGCAGTGGTGCGTGAAGTGTTGTCTGCTGCCGGGTTCGGTATGTCCCAAATATTGCTAATCTTGGCAAACTGTGAGGTGTCCTCGATTGCGGCAGTGGTGGCGGCACAGTTATCGGCTGCGAAGAAGCTCTGTAGCTTGCAGTTGGGCCACACGCCGACGTCAATGGCAGTGCTCGAGTTCGAGCCCAATCCAGATGAACAGGTCGACGAAGCCGACGAGCAGGTGGAGGATGCGCTGGGCGATGTCGATTGCTGGTTCTTATCGCCCGTATGGACTCCTGAAACACCAACACCGGTCCCTCCGGCCTGCATGATTGCTGCATTTATGGCTACACCCGTCTTTGTGGTGTAATAATTATCCCTGAGTGAGTTGTTTGTATTCGGCGATGACACCGACCACAACGGCTCTTTACTGTTGCTGCTGCGATAATCTGGGCGCGTGGATGTGCTGGAAGTGGGGCTTAGTGAAGGCTGCGAGCCGGATCCGCTCGAACAGCCGCTGGTGGATGAGGCGCCACTGGAGATGGACGATGGCGTACAACCCCACAGCGTTGAGATGGCGTCAGTGGTGCCGGTTTGGTTGCCAAACGGCTGGCCTGCGGCTGTGATGCAGCCACCACCGCTGATGAATGAGCTGACTGCTGCGTGCGGCTGGCTCCAGAGCGCATTCAATTTGTTAGCCGTCGGTACTGACATGGTTGCGGCGTCCCCTGTTTCGCGCGAGAATGTGCCCGTTGCTGTTGTTGATGCTGCCGGTGTTGTTGTGGTCGTTGCTAAATTATTGCTAGTTAATAAATTACTAATACTGCTACCGACACTACTCTTTGCTAGCAAAGCGCTGGATTCGCCATTGCGACCTATCAACCCTACCACCTGATTGTTACTACGTTGGTGTTGGTGTTGCTGTTGCTGTTGCTGTATCTGCGGTTGTTCGAGGCCTGACTTAATCGGGCTTATTTCATTAACGAAACTATTCAAATGCAAATTACTTAGGTTACATTGCTCACTTAATTTAAGTGGTAGTGTTGCCAGCATTTGTTGCTGGTGTACCAGCTGTTGCTTTTGCTGCTGCTGCTGGGTCGACGTCTGGGCGGCGGCTACTGTTGTTGTAGCTGCAGCTGCCAATCCAGCTAAGGACATGCGTGCAGCAGCTACTGGCGTGAATGCCGGCACACGTGGCTGTTGATGCGTCTGCGTCTGCGTCTGTTGTTGTTGTTGCGGTTGCTGCTGTTGCTGTTGTGGCTGTCTTACCTGATTTGTGTTGTGTATAACGTTGCTGGCACCGCTGGCGCTGCATTGCTGCTGATATTGTTGAGCGTGCGGATGAGCGCCAATAATGTCAGGATTGATTTGTTGTTGCAGCGGTGCAGAGTAATCAATTGATGGATTGTATAGAATAACTTTCTTCGTTTGCATGATGTTGCTAATGTTATTATTGCTTGTATTGTTCGCCGTTGGAGCGGCAATGCTGGCAGTGTTGGCTGCTGTTGTTGCTTGTGTGGCTGTTGTCGCTGCCGCCAGCATCTCCGTGGACTCCAACGGGGCCTCATGTTATGCGATCGGCTGATGGCGTACCACGTTGCTTTTGGTGTAGCAGAAGCTCAGCGGTTTGACAAAGTGCGTGTCCTGCGTGGCGCAATACGGACAGGTGACGCAGTGCGAATAGTCACTGTAGAAATTTAGACGCTGCTGCGGATGCAAAAGCAATTTGAAGCAGTTATTGCACTGCAAAGGAGAAACAATACAAACGAGACGGTTTGAAATTAACAAAGCCTTTGGGTAATGCAAAAAGTTACCAATTAGGTAACAAGTTAACTACTAACTACTATGTTATTAGAAAAAAAAGTTGGACAAATTCAGTAAAAAAAACTGTTATCTCCATCTCACAGCGTTAATGCTATTTGTTCGAATATCACTCGTTTTGCTTACCTTTAGACGCTCAGCACAGCAGGGCATTGCGGCAAAAATGTCATAAGAATACATGGTGCCGAGGACTAGATTCGATCCATCCCAAATTTCACCGCAGAACCTTTAAAATGAAAATAAATGCAGCGTTATCAAAATGGAACGATGACCAAGTACGAGTACGAGTTATTGAAGAGTTCAATTACATGAGTAACTAATTTTATTCCTACGGAAAATGGTGGACTGTCTTTCATACAAATGATAACAAAATATTTTCGAGAACAAGACATTTGAGGCCATGAGCGCAGAAGTGGCCTGGCCCATTTGTTTGTTTCTTTTTGCACTTACCTACTTAAATAAGTCTTAAATGTGATCAATTTTTAAAATAAAAGTGTACAATCAAATTAAGGAATAAGCGACCTTTTCTTTAAAAACTATAACATTTGAAACTAATACTGGAATCTAAGTACAAAAAAAATTTTATTAGACCACTTTTGCTCTCATGGACTCATTTGCAGCTTAACACTTTGAAAATTAATGTAAACAATACTTTCATGGCTACTCTTAATCACACTAGCGAAATATAAAAAAAAAAAAAAAAATCATTTCTACAATGCCACTTAACCCCTTTGCAGTCAAGACTAATATATCTCTTAAACTAAAGAAAATTATGTCGCCATGTTCACAGCTAAAGGAAGTGTAAATCCTGCGAAAAAAAATGCCAAAAATAGTTCTTTCTGTTGTCGATTTTCTTCCGAAAAGCATATCGCTATTCATTTTTTATTGCAAGACTTTTAGGGAAATGTCACATAACAGATCGAGTCCTCTATTAGCGGTATTTACATACCAAAGAGGTAAATGACCACAAATATGCTGCGTTTCAACTCACCTGCAATTTATTACACGATTGGTTGAGTTACCGTCCAAGCAAGCCATGCAAACGCAAGTCAAATACAGTGGTCTTCCTTCATAGTTCACCTGGAAAAAAGGTTAAAAAATATAATTATGACCATGCATTAAATACAAGGAGCAATATCAAATATCAGCACTTGTAGAATATTGCTCGTATCATGAACGTAGCCGGGTAGGGGCAGGGGGTGCTCGAGCCCAATTTTTACCCAACAATTATGTTCAAACATCAAATTTATAAGTTTAATAATATTTATGTATAACATTTAGTTTCCTTTTGTTTTTCAAAAAACAAAAGGGTTTTAACGAGGCATCGTCTAATCGACGATCATTAGTACTAACGTATGTTAGTACTCTAGGGTTAAAATTAAATTACAACGTGACGATTTTTCCTGGAAGGGCCCATCGAAAGAATCTGTCACGGGCCTCAGGTGGTATAGTTACGCCACTGCCGTTTACAAAAGTACATACGCTTCATTGTTGATCTTACTGCACGCAAGCATGGAACAGATTAAAATTTTGTGAACTCATCAAAATGGAAAAAACTAATACCAACAAACAGGGAAATCAAAAAGTTAAAAAAAAAAACTCAAGCAACGGACGACACGCACGAAAAGTTCACGGCGACGTCCAGAGAGCCGGCGGAATGAATCCGTACAAAACTGCAAAAGAAACTTTCTTCGTCGACTGACAATTCCTGGCACTGGGCGTCC